TTTGGTTTGGAAAGTTTCTAGATTTGGTACGATGCAACTGGGTGTGTATGATTTTTTTTTGTTTGTTACTTACACGAATGTAATGTGCTAGCTCGAAATTGAAGTAGTCTGTATGTTTGGTTAAATTCAAATGATGTATTTTTCTAAAGAGGCTGATTAGTAGTCTAATGTATATTCCATGTCGGTAGCAGTTCTGTATATTTTCATCATGTATTCCATTGTAAATACAATCTGAATAGTCTAGAACTAGGGGAGAGTGCGTGTGTGAGTGGATTTCACCCTACTGTGTAGTTACCCTTGTATGTTTATGTATTTTCCCACGTTTTCTTTAACTTGCTTTCGCGTCTGTTTATTTGTTTGTTTTTCCAATCAAATCTTGCGATCAAAATTTCGGGCACTTCCCAGTTAGCTAGTGCGCTGAAATTTTCAGGGAAGCTTTGTTTTTGATGACAATACAATATTCAATTATCATTATTACTAAATTGATCCATGGAAAACTTTTATTGATCATTTTAGACTTCTACTGATTTGTACCAAAAAAAGGACATAACCCAGTAATTGTAATTTGATGAAAACAAGGTTCGGTACCTTCCCTCTTCAGGCTTACTGAGTAGTGGTTACGCGGTATTTGTGTAGAAACCTATGCAAATCTAACACAGAAGAAACGTCGATTGGAAAAGGCACGTGTTTTGTACGAGTTTTCTTCGTTTACCCAAAAAAAAGTGAATGCGAGAAGATCAAATCGATAGCAAGATTTGAATGCAAACAAACAGTCGAAAACTAAAAAGTAGAAAATAATTATCATTAAAAAAGTTTTTAAAAACCCACGTTTTCTGATAGAGCTAAAAAGTAGAAAATAAATGCTATACATCACAATAATGAAAGCGATCACTCTACTATAAGCGATGAAAAACGTAGGGCGCCGTGATTTTCTTACAGTTTCTAATACTGTTGACTCTACAAGCTCCCTAATAAAAGTCAATAGTATTAGCTAATCAAAAGTAATATAACTTTTACATCTTATATTAACAATGACCGATAAAAAACTTTTACTTCGGCGCCCCACGTTTTTCATCGCTTATAGTAGGGTGATCGCTTACATTATTGTGATGTATAGCATTTATTTTCTACTTTTTAGTTCAATCAGAAAACGTGGGTTTTTAAAAACTTTTTTAATGATAATTATTAATCCCAAGGTCGAATGCGGGTATAAAAGGGCGAGTGAACGATTGTAGGGGGACAGCCAGCGGGTTAGTTGCTAGCGATTAGGACGAGGGCTAGGCTTGAATGTATTTGAGACGGAATAAAAGTAACGAACTTACTCACGAAGAGTTGTCATTTATCTGAAACCAACCCAGAACGTAACAGCTTACAAATATAATCTTAAAAATTTACCTTTCTGAAAATCTTCGGTAATTTCTTCTTTAATACTTTGAACCAAGTTCATTTTTTTCCAAAGCTGACGTTTTCCGTTGTTTTCGTTTTGTATTAGTGACAACAGGACAGTCACTTTGTTTATAACCTACTTCTCTATAACGCCACCTACCGCCGCTTATTGAGAAATACAGCCTATTCATTTGCGAGATATTTCCATTTTAGTTTAAAAAAAACCAAAAAGAGATCACACGTGTGGTGCAAAGAATGGTTCAGAACGAACAAGAGTTCCGATCCGCAAAAAAAGTATTATCTCTGTTTTGAGATATTCTAAATGTCTATCATGGTGTCTCCACTTCTCCCCCTTCTTGCTACCCCACAGGTAATGGTACACATCTGGACCTGAATTCAGCAGTATCTTAAGGCTGACCGGGCCTCGACCCCGGACTGCTGTCACGAGGGCGGAGCCTGAGTCATGTGACCTGTAGGGTAGGGACGCTACAGTCCGGTCACTCTACCTTCTCCCCTCTTCGGAGGTACACGTTTATTTTGGTGCTAAGACACTAGCCATTATAACATTATATTTATTTTGGTGCAACGGCACTTGTTCTCCACGGAGAAATTAAACGTACGTTTGGCAACGTGTGTAGAGGATTGTGTGGCTTCATTGGAAGGTAATTAACACTTACTTTTATTAGTTGTACTGTTATAATATTAATTAATAAGTATGGAATGAGTATAAAACAATGTATGAATGAAAAGCATATTTTCTAGTAATGTTTATTGTAGGCCTATGTCAGGCTAACGTAAATGTAGTATTATCTTTGTTACAATAATTAAACTGTCTGTCTGAAGTCTGAATGAATGTTTATAGCACACATGTTAGGAAGATTGTCAAATGTCTTTACAGCCGGCAAGTTTGGGGCTAAAGCTTAGACGATACAGAGGTCTGTGTGAGCAAGTGTGGCCACGCCTCCCTGAAGACCAGTCGCCCATTCCAGGCTAATCAAAGTTCTAATGTGCTCCTATGTCAATTATTTTATTTAGCAATGTATTAAAAGTTAAATGATTGTTTAATTATTGACTCATAATTTTAAAGCCTTTTTACTGAGCCAAATATTGGCAACCCGGCAATAATAATTACATAACTATTAATAAATACAATATTAATTATTAGGGGACCTCTTGTCCAACGAGACAACCCTAGGCCAAACAAGCCATTCTGTAGCTGCGGCTATACATATATTTATTTATTTACTCGCTAGAGCATATTTGCTACATTGGGGCTCGTATCAAAGCCAGATTATATATATATATATATATATATATATATATATATATATATATATATATATATATATATATATATAATTACTATTGCATTTTTATCATTGATATGTAGGTAGAATTTAATTTAATTTTGTTAATTTTGTTACTTTTTATACCACAATTAGAAAAAATTTGTACATCGTTTACCAGTAATTGCATATAGTTTTCAGACTGTCAAAGTCAAAGTTAGACCTAGCTCTACCCACCCTAGATACCACCCAGCTATCTTCCAAGGCTGTGACTCAGAGCGACCACTGCAGTTCGGTGTCTCTTGTTCAGGCAAGTTCAGATACTGTCAGTGCTCTACATATTTTTTTTAATACAGCTAACACTAGCTGGATACCCTGACCAGTGACCACCCTACTATCACCCTTGTACAAGTGTATTATTCTTTTGACCTAAAGTTGACCGGACGCCATGGCATTATACCAGGCTACGCAGCGGTCACAGCTAGAGATTAAACGGGAGGGGGAGGCGTTAGGTTACGCGGGGACAAAGCTTTTAAAATGGGTTAGGGTGAGGTGGACGCTGAACGGGCTAGGGTAGACCGGGAACGGGAATTTAAGCAAGCAGAGTGGGCTAGGGACAAGGAAAAAGAGGAGCGTCAAATTCAGCTGTTAGAGCTGGAAATTAAACGAATAGAGTTAGCGAATCGTAGCAACGAGTATGTGTGGAAGGGGGAGGAACAAATAGGTGTTGCAACATCAAAGGTTTCACTACCAAAGTTTGATGGGGTGGTCGATCACCTGGACTTTTTTCTCCTACATTTTGAAGAAGAGGCTAGGCAAAACAGATGGAGGCAAGACAGCTGGAGTAATGAGCTCCGCAAATTAATGCCGGCGGAACTATTACCAGTATGCTTTATGGGACATATTAATTATTAAGGGACCTCTTGTCCAACGAGACAATCCTAGGCCAAACAAGCCATTCTGTAGCTGCGGCTATACATATATTTATGTGCGGTATGACTCGCTAGAGCATATTTGCCACAATCTCCCCACTGACATGATTAGTTTCGAACAAATTAACGTCATTAGCTCTTGCCGGAAATGCTCGTTTTATGAGATTAAAAGCCTCTGGTATATATTCGGCTGGTATAATGGACAGATCAAACGGAAAACATATTCACATACTTTTGCAACGGCGTCCATTTAAATATACAAATGTCTAGACATAAAAAATAGGTCAATGTTGCACGCGTAGGTTACATTTAAGCTGGCAAAATGTGGCGGGGCCTGACGTTTTGTCTGTGCTTTTAAAAAATTAGTGTACATGTGTACAGGATCCGATTTATTTTGGAATAAAAACATTCATTGTTTTTGGTCGGATTTTAAAGTCTTAAAATTGGCGGATCTGGTGAATTTACTGTTAGGTAATCAATAGAGGTTCATTTTTCTGTTTGCTACTTGTGACTTTAAGAACAGGGAGGGTCGGCGTAGTGAACATATCTGTTCTAATATTCACACTAGATTCACATAATATTTAAGATTTTATAGACATTAATTCATTCCCTGATGTCAACATAAATATTCTTTTTACATATAAAAATATATCCAAAACTCAAAACCGAAGTCTACATGTAGGCTAATATATTAGGTTATGGTTTGCCTGCGCCCCTCTTGGGACATAGGCCGCTGACAAAAATGGTTTAAAAAGTGTGGTCAGTTATGGACGACCCCTTTTGCCTGTACTGCCCTTTTGTCCGTATATTTTTTCGAAATTTTCTATTTCACATATCTAAATTAAGTGAAAAAATTTAAGTTCTTCTTAAGTTTCCTCTAAAAATCAGAATAGTATTTAACTTTGACTTTAGTACTTATTTAGTTTAATGTTTAAAATGTGTTCAGATGAGAAAAAATTAAATGGTAATTACCTCACAATACGACTATACTAAAGTGTGCAAGTCTATATACGTTTGACTAAATCGGCAAATATGATTAATACAAAGAGTGTGACGTGGCCTAGATGTTCATAGCGAAAGCGTGTAGGCACGGAGAGATTGGGTGTGAGAGTCGCCTCCCCTGACAAGTGTGTGAACTCTAGTGTGTAAGCAGTGTGTGGTATCGTCAACTTAGGGTAGCATGTAGTCAGTGTTTTCGTCAATGTTCACTGTTTCTCTGTTGTAGTTGAAAATTATATTGGATTATTACATTTGAACTGTGTTTTAAATTGTGTTATACCTTGTTCCACTATGAAATGGAAAGCTAAGCATAACAAGTGAGGGCTTAAGTCCGGGATTTGAACACAACAAGATTTTTGAGAAGTTTTACCCCTAGACAAAAAAGAAAACATCTAGTATTAACGGCATCGTTACAGCCGACTGGGAAGTGTCTAGTATCAACGGCAGCGTCACAACCGACTGGAAAATTTCTAGTATCAACGGCAGTGTCACAACCGACGGGAAAATTTCTAGTATTAACGGCATCGTTACAGCCGACTAGAAACTATCTAGTATTAACGGCAGCGTTACAGCCGACTAGAAACTATCTCGTATCAACGGCATCGTTACAGCCGACTAGAAAACATCTAGTATTAACGGCAGCAGTCATCGCCGACGTGAAAAGACTTCGTATCAACAGCCACAAAACTTGTGAACAGTGCTGCAGACATCATGGCCATAAATAATGACATTAAAAATACAGTGATAAAGCTAGGAGAGAAGTTGAGAGAACTTGCTAGCTACAAAGTGGACTACATTAGCATAGCAAGTAAGTTATCAAATTTTAGAGCTACAATATTAGCATCTCAGTCCTTGATCACATCAGAAGCAAATCATTGCGTCGCCACCAACATGAAAGCTCTAGCTACTGTCCCACTTACAGAAGACCTAATCAACCAGAGACGCAATCTAGGCAACAAGTCAACAGAGTGGAGAACTAGGTCAAGGGCAGCTGAGCAGAAGGTAACTTTAATCCAGTATCAAGCTCATAGTCTTTTTAAAGATACTAATGAGACTTTAATTATAGTTAAAGACTGTGATGTCAAGATAGCAGGATCGAAACAAAAATGTTTGGACGCCAGAGCTGAGCAGAAGAGCCAGAGCCAACGTCAGAGCCAGAGCCAGTGCCAGAGCCAGTGCCAGAGCCAGTGCCAGAGCCAGTGCCAGAGCCAGTGCCAGAGCCAGTGCCAGAGCCAAAGTCAGAGCCAGAGCCCGTGCCAGAGCCCGTGCCAGAGCCCGTGCCAGTGCCAAAACCAGAGCCAGAGCCAAAACCAGAGCCAGAGCCAAAACCAGAGCCAGAGCCGAAACCAGAGCCAGAACCAGAGCCAGAGCCAAAGCCAGAGCCAAAACCCAGAGCCAGAGCGAGAGCCAGAGCCAAAGCCAGAGCGAGATCCAGATCGACATCCAGAGCCAAAGACTGTACCAAAATTAGAGTGGTGTACGAACTTGTGTTATCTGAATAGCTTCTAGTTTTCATTGTCATCATTGACTTGATTTATTTCAACATATCTAACTTCATAAAACGAAAGGAAAGTAACATTGTTCTGATGTATTGTAATTCAATTCAAATGCTTTATTGATGACAAATGTTTTTTAAAAACCTTGTTGACTTATAGACTAGACGTATAAAGCTATAAGTAGTTAATTCATGCTTACGTCCAACATTTTATTGTAGAGATATAATTTTTACCCGCCATCATTTATTTCTAGGGAGATTTAAAGCATGTAAAAGGTCAGATAAATATTGTATTAAAATTGTTACTGTACATGTTAAGTAGTTGTGCAGGATAGACCTTAGAAATGCTGTTTAATTTTAGTAAAAATAAGAAACCTCTTTTTTTAGGGGGGAGGTGTGACGTGGCCTAGATGTTCATAGCGAAAGCGTGTAGGCACGGAGAGATTGGGTGTGAGAGTCGCCTCCCCTGACAAGTGTGTGAACTCTAGTGTGTAAGCAGTGTGTGGTATCGTCAACTTAGGGTAGCATGTAGTCAGTGTTTTCGTCAATGTTCACTGTTTCTCTGTTGTAGTTGAAAATTATATTGGATTATTACATTTGAACTGTGTTTTAAATTGTGTTATACCTTGTTCCACTATGAAATGGAAAGCTAAGCATAACAAAGAGTGCTAACGTTTAAACAAAAATGTACTTGGACTTCAGGACACATTTTTTCCAGATATAAACATATTTGAAACATATATATTACTTTTAAAACAAATTTAATACAAATTCACTTATATTTTTAATGCCAAAGAAACAAAATATAATCAATTTTTATTTCCAGGTAATAAAATAAAAAAATGAAGGTCTAGCCTACACGCTGAAACAAAAAAAAACATTTTTACTATTCATTGCATAAGTTTGACAAAAGAATTCGAAAATAATTAAGCTTATGTACAAAAGTCAAAGACGCTAATTCATGACAAACTACAATTAAAACATAAAAACATATTTAAAAAGCACACATGTTGCAAACAGAAAAATGTGTGATCAGTGCAAACCGACTAAACAAACTAATAAGAAAAAACAATAAAAAAGAAAACCCAACACAAAAAGAAGAAGCAACCAATAAAATAAAAAAAAACATGACAAACAATCTATAATATAAGCGGGCTGGTAGTGTGTCAGTCCATCCGTCATCGCTATAGATTTTGGAACCATAAAAGTAAACATCGCACCATGCAGTGTTTTTCAGTGCATCGCAGTGTCTTAATATAAGTATTAGAGTAGGGTATGTTTATACAACGACTTAAATTTATTTTATAACTGCCACTGTTTTACTCTTTTGCATAACGTAAAGAAAATGTTAAATACACGCACATTGCTAAAACATATTAAACGGATTAATGTCAAATATAAT